GTAAAATTTATTTATTGATTGGTTAACTACATGCCATCAAGTCATTGTCAGTTTTTAGAACCACATAAATATTCTTTATGCCAATCTGTCCTTGACTTGGTCTTTCAGATCTTCCAAAGGTTGATGTAAGATAGAACAGACTAAATAGACTTGTGATTTAATTTAGAACAAAGTATTCTCTCTCTCTCTCCATGTGCACATGCATGTGCATTTGAGGAGGGTTATGTGTGTTTTATATTCATTGACAGTACAGTACTGTGTGCAGATGAGTTATTTTTTCTACCTAATCTTCTTTTAAGCAGGGAAAAATTCATCTCAAATAGGGTCATTTTCCTGTCTCCAGTAAATTCTGGGAGTCATAATTCTTATTATTGCACTAATAATTTGCACCTCCTCAAATGCACACCTCACCTTTGTTCCACAAATAACCTCGATGATGCAGAGGTGTGTTGTGAGCAGCGCCAAGCATCTGAAACAAATGTCTGGTTTAACTCGCCTGAGGATGGATGGAGAGGGGGGCTCAGGAATAGCAAGCAGAGAAGGAGAATTCTGTTGGACATATTTGTCAGTTTAATAGCTTAAACCAGGCCCTCTAGGAGCACAGCAAATTATAATTTTTGCTTTTCCTTGAATAATGGAAGGTGGTGTGCTTTTAGCAAACCCCCTCACCTCTCGAGATAAGTGGCAGATACCATATTGAACTCAAATTAATCCTCATTCTTCTGTTCGTCATACTTTGCTTGTGCATTTGTTTGTTTGTCTTTCAGGTTTGATATTTCACTTTGCCAGTTCCCTGCTGAGCTGGTATTTGGAGCTGGTTCACAAGCTGCTTTTCTTTTTGCTGATGATGTACTTGCTCCAAAATATTTATTTATTTGTCTTAAAAAAAAACCTCAGGAGTTTGGGAGGGAGGGTTCCCCACTAACAACCTCTGTCATGGCTGGTCCAAGGAACTGGCTGGCTTCCAGCTACTGACATACAGAACTCTTCATGAAACCAGACAGAATTAAACCCTTTGTTTCCTGTTTGCTGACTGGCTTTAAAAGAGAGAGGGAGGGAGGGAAGGAGGGAGCTGGAGGAGAAGGAAAGCACACACAAAGATATTGGAGTTCTCAACAAGACCATCTTTGTATTAATTTAATTAGTTAAATGAAGAAGGGAAGGATGAGTGTTTATGTAATAAATGCATTTTTAAGGGGGTTAAGACAGTTGTGGCATACATAGAAAAGTGATTTACATTCCATTTGCCTGCTGAAGCATGTGAATTCTTAAGGACTCGGAGTTCATCATTACAACCTTTATTTTTTATATGGCTTGAGAATTTAGTTTTAGTAGTAGTTTTTCGTGTACCACTGAATTGAAGGCTTTACAGAAGTCTATGTAGATTGCATCTATTGCTTTGCCCTGATTGAGTTGTGTAGTCCAAATGTTTTTGCAGTGTAAGAGTTGCAGATTACAGGATAGTTTTTTTCTGAAACCAAATTGTTTAGTAGGTTCTTTGTCTCTAAGTGGAGAACAATGGATTGATTAATAATTGATTCCATGACTTTACAGGTGACACAGCATAAAGAGATTGGTCTGTAATTTTCAACTAGACTGTGGTCTCCCTTTTTGAAGATGGGGATGACTGTGGCTTGTGACCATAGGTTTGACAAGGAGCTGGTCCTGAAAGATTTTTCAAAGATTATGCTTAAAGGTTCGGCTATGGCAGTGGGTAGCTTTTTAAAGAAGTAGACACATATTCCATCCAGTCCAGTAGATAGAGATGGTCTTAGATTGCGTAGTGCTTTTTCAACATAGTCTTCTGTAAAACCGATATGTATTAGATCATTGTAGTTGTCTGTGGTTCGACTAGGAAATACTGGGCATGATCCATTGCTGTTTACAAATACTGAGCCAAAGAATGTGTTAAAGAGGTTGGCTTTGATGGTGTTGTCGTTGCAGTCTTTACCATTAGGTCTTTTCAGGGGTGGGATGGACCTTGAGTCTTTTAGTTTGCTGTTTACAAAATTGTAGAAAGTGTGGGTGGAATTGGTGCATAGAAGGTTTTCCTCTTGTTTAATGTGATAATGGATGCATTCAGTCTTTATCTGGTAACATAAATTTTTGTATCAGCTTTTGAAGTTGGCAACGTGACCAGATTTGTTTTTCCACCAAAGTGATCTTTTTTTGGATTGAAGCTTCCTTATTGTTATGGGTTATCTGTTTTTTCTGGTTTTGGGAGTTGTTATTGGTACATATAGTTTGATGACTCTTTTGACTTCAAGTAAAAATATGTTATAATGGTCTTCAACAGTATTGTATCCAGTGAATAGGGATTGCCAATCAAGTGATGAGAGATCATTGTCTATAAAATCATAGTTACCTTTTTTGAAGTTGTAATTGGGGATCACATTGTTGTGATGATTTTTGTGCGGATTTTTGTGATTTTTTTTATGTTGAGACAAAAGTCAATCATGTTGTGGTCACTGTTGGAAAAGGGTTCTTTAATTTGTATTCCATAAATTGAGTTCAAACTACTGCAGAAGATGACATCGAGGCAGTTGTTAAGTCTAGTATTGTTGGTTACTAGTTGTTCCAGTCCCAGATTTGTTACAGCATTATAGAAAGTTGCATGTATGGGTTCAGTTTTACATTCATTTAGGGTCCAGTTAATATGAGGTAGATTGAAGTCACCAAGAAGGATAAAAGCGTGTGGGCAGGATGTTGCCCATGTTAGTAGTGAAATAACATTTGTGTGTTAAGTTTTTTGAGATAAGCCTGGGGACCTGTCCAATATAGGGACTGCTGTGAGTCTGTTTCAAAGTTATTTCCAAAGCTTTTTGGAGTATCCCATCCAGGATGGGAGATTGCAATAGCTGGAAGCAAGTTTAAAAGATGGCACTTAAACTGTGCAATTTCCTCAACTCTAAATTTCAACTTTACTTCGTCCCTCTGCCAACTTTTTGTCATCTAAAGCAGGAGTCCCCAACCCCCCAGTCGATGGGTTGGTAGTGGTCCACAGCATGCCAGAAAAGCAAAGCTCCATCTGTGGGATGCAGGCAGTAAGCAAAACCATACCCTCTCTGGTCCACAGAAAAACCACGGAACTGGTCCCTGGTGCCCAAAAGATTAGGGCCACTGATCCAAAGCATCCATCTCTTTCTATGGGTTGACTGTAGAACGTGTCTATATTTCATCATGCAGTGATTCTGTGGAAATGATAGTAAATAGTGAGCTCAGCTCACTAAACCTTGTTTGAGGTAGATAATTCTAAAGATGGGGTTTACTTCCTAAAGCTAGTGTCATCCCAGCATTTATTTATTTATTGGTTATTGTAAAGCCAATTGCAATTTTTGAGATAGGGTAGCAAGGTTTTGTTTCAAATTTGGATATGCAAACAACACCTTCCCCCAAGACTTATTAACTAATAACCAGGCAGTTCAACCGATTTAAAAAAAACATAAATAAATTCAGGTGCCAATTTGCGAACCTATGTAATTGAATTTCTAATGAATAGCTGCCAAGGAGAGAGTAAGTCTTAGGATTTATTCTTGCCCTTCTAATCTTGTTATTTTACAAGTATTCTAAAGTAAAATAATTTGTGGGGATTTGGACCAAATCAGAACAAGTCATTAAAAATGATTAATAGTGCACACTTCAAAATTCACGTTCCACTGTTAGTTATTCAGTGGCTAGAGGATGCAAATACTCTAATAAATAACTGTTTTTCAGCTAAGTTAACAGAGCCTTTTTAAAAATAGCTTTACCAGATGCTCCTTATTTTGAGCGCAGCCCCATGTTTCCATTTGACATTTAATAGGATGTTATAGTGGCAGTATTCTTCTTCTTCTTCAGGAGGTCAGGAATATTGTCTTCCAGAAAATATTATTTCTACTCTCCCCCAAAGTAATCATTGCTGGTCAATATGTGCAGGCAGTCCTCACGATTGAGCCCAAAATTTCTGTTGTTAAATGAATTTTACCTCATTTATGCCTTTTTTTTTGGCCACGATTTTAACAATCGAATCACTGCGAATCACTGCAGTTGTTAGTAAATGAATCTGTCTATCCCACTGATCTTGCTTGTCAGAAGATTGTAAGAGGGAATCACATGATCCCTGGGACACTGCAACTGTCATAAATATGAGTCAATTGCCAAGCATCTGAATTTTGATCACGTAAGCACGGGGATGCTGCAGCAATCTCCAGTGTGAAAAATGGTCATAAGTCACTTTTTCCAGTGCTGTTGTAACATTGAACAGTCACTAAATGAACTGTTGTAAGTCAAGTACTACTTGTATTACATTATTTAGGCCCCTCCCCTTTTTAATTTTTCAGTGATGAAGTTAGTGTTACATTTTTGAACGCTTCGAGATTCCTCTCAATCTGCTTATGCCTTTTTCTTAAATGGAAAATGCTTTTTTGGGTTGGATCCAAACTTGGAATATGAAGATGCTGGTATGGCTGCCTACCTCAATCTTTTGTTCCCTCCCAGTTGTGAGAATCTCACCTCCCAACTCTTGGGATTATTGGACTGGGGAAGAACGGGTTAAACTTTTGTGCCCCTGATAATTTCACATATGTTTGTCATGCCCCTTCCCTTTTTTTTTAATTTTCCAAACTGAAATTTGCATTTAAATATTTTTAAATATTCACCATTTTTATATACATTTTATCCTTCAACATACATTTGTGTATACAGTTTATCCTTGTAAAGTGCCTTACTAACAATACAGCCAACAACTTTTGCAAAATTTACGAAATTTACAAATTTCAGAGGTTAAACGAGTTCCATTTAAAAATAAATTCCTTTAATTCTGTTTCTCTTTTTGGCCTTCTTTCCATGCCACTTCAATTCTGGCTTAAGCACTTAATTCTGGAACTGATATAGTTGCACTTGCTATATATGTTATCTGGTTATCATCTTCCCCAAATTCCTTTTAGATGTTTGTGTTCTTTCTTGGGCTCCTGGGTATAGATTTGTTGTTTTTAAAATAAAGCTTTCATTCTTCTCCTCAGACAGCAGAGTTACTGATCACCCTACAAGTGCACATGTTTCTGATTTGGAAGATACGTTTAGGAGTACAAGCTGTGTTTCTCCACCAGCCAAGCAATCAAGAATGGTATGTGAATCTTTATGCTTGCATTTAAAAGCCATTCTTTTCTAGGTCTGTGGGCAATGTTTTTCCTCTCTATTCCACATCAATCAGTTCTATGTGCAGGTAGGGCATATTCTAAACTTAATAGCAATGGCAATAGCACTTAGACTTATATACTGCTTCACGGTACTTTACAGCCCTCTCTAAGTGGTTTACAGAATCAGCATATTGCCCCCAACAATCTGCATCCTCATTTTACCCATCTCGGAAGGATGGAAGGCTGAATCAACTTTGAGCCAGTGAGAATCGAATTGCTAAACTTCTGGCAGCTGGCAGTCAGCAGACACTGCATTCTAACTACTGCGCCACCATGAAGCAATAAGGATTCACTTGTGTCCAGTGTTTCTTCGTGTTTTCATAGAATTTTTTTAAAATGTGGCATTTAATAGTATATATACCACTTCACAGTGCTTTATAGCCCTCTCTAAGCAGTTTACAGAGTCAGCATATTACTCCCAATAATCTGGATCCTCATTTTACTAACCATCGGAAAGATGGAAGGCTGAGTTAACCTTGAGTCAGTGAGAATCGAACTGCTGGCAGCCAGCAGAATTAGCCTGCAATACTTCATTCTAACCACTGTGCCACCATGGTTCTAATCAATCTTTTTTTGCTTGTATATAAACCATAACAATTCTGGCTATGAATTAACAGTAGTTAACTGATAGTTCGGAACTATATTGAGAGGACCGTTATTTTAGGGACTCAAATCTTGAATCAAGAACTGTATAATAATACTAATACCTTTCAGATAGCCCAGAACCATTTTTTCCAGTGCTTTCTTAACTTCGAATGGTCACTAAAGGAATTATTGTAAGTCGAGGACTACCTGTGTTTCAAGAATAAGTTGGTAGTGCTTCACTGCTCCATAATAAATCCCATTTTTGCTTACTATAAAATTCTTGCCCTTTTTCTATAGTTAGAAAAGAAATAACATCACAGAAATGTCCCCCAAGGAATTTAAATTGGCTCTCAAGAACTGGGCTGCTCCTCCTTCCTTTTCCTATTGCAAGCACCCCAAATAGTGTGTTTTTCTTCTCCTCTGCTACAACTTCAATATGAAGATGCTTCAGAAACTGCACGGCTGTTGCTTATCCCACAGAGACCACTTAAAATCACTTCTTTGTGGGGCTAAAGGTTGCAGACGAGACAGGTTCCATTGACCTTTGTCTCTTACCAATCCATTGAACAGGAGAAGAATTCCTCAGTCTTCTTTGGCACTAGGGAATAAAACGTGAACTTCAGAAGTTTAAAATACCCCAAGGATGAACTCTACCTTCAAGGCCAGATTAAAATGTAGCCTAGATCCATAGGCAGAATTGAACTCTCTGGGCTTTCAACCTTCTTTGGCAGCTTCTTTACTTATTTATGTTTGTCTACCTCTCTGTCACAGAACATGTTTGTGTGCATGGGAATCAGTGCATGCATATACAATGTCTTTGGAATTTGTATTACTGTCACTATTTCCATCCAAAAGAAGCAGATTGTATGTAAAGCCTCTCCTTCAAATTTCCATGACTGGACTGTACAGCAGTAAAAATGCTTGAATAAGTGGGCTTTAATGTGCCATACACTTTCCATACATTATGTGTTTTTATCATCAACAACCTTGTAAGATAGATTAGGATGATAAAACCTAAAGCCTTATGCAGCTATTGAGTGAGCGGATAGGGCAATGGTGAACACCTGTTTTTGGATTAAGGCCCATTTAGCAGGTGTGTCAAAAACCACAATTGAAATTTGAATTCGTTTTTAACAGCTGCATGTTATTATACAAATGTAAAAGATTTGTTTGCTTTTAATTACACTGATAAATAAGATAAAGTGGTATACAAATGTAGCCTGCTCAACATTTTATGCCAGATGCTCACTATCATAAGGTATTTGACCTTGCAGCCAGGGGAAAAGTAATTTCTTTGCAACTGGTTCAAGGGCCTAAGTCCCTCTTACCAAAGATTGAATGTTGGAATATTTATCCTTGAAAGGATGCATAATGATCTGGGCACATAGTTATGGGAGAGACTGAAATTATTCTTAGTCTTTATGAGTGCACTTTACAACTGAAAAGCAAAGGGTCCTTGATCCAATGGATCAACCCAGAATATTCTTCCTTGAAATGTCCAATCCCAGACCAGTTGTCTTGAAATGTACAGAGTAAGCCCTTCTTTTGATGCAGCAATCACTGGTCATAAATAACAAAGCCACATTTTTTTCTCCCAGCCATCCTACCACCTTCTTTTCTGTTCCATGGCTTTTATGCAGAAAAAAGCCACAATAATTGCTAGTTTTCTCATGGGTTAGCATGTTCATAGGCTGTTCATAGCTCTCAGGAACTTCAAGCCACTGGTTTCTTTCAGGAGCTATTACTCATTCAGATTGTCAGTAACTCGCCAAGACCTCATGCCAAAGATTTCCAGTTCTTTTATTTCAAACCCTTTCTTAGATAGAGATAAGAGGGAATTCAGTGTTATATATCTGAAGTGTTTGCTCCTTCTGTCTGCTGTGGCCCTCTTCCCTAAGGCAACCTCATAAAGAGGGAGCAGCAGCTATTATCAATAAATGTTTAATGCCATCAAGGCATTAGACTATCAGCAGTAAATTACAGTGAGTTGTATATTGCAGGATTGGTGAAATAGAGCCTGAGGAAAATAGGACCCCCACCAGCTCCCCAAATTTGAATTAATGACTGTTCCAAATATCGCAAGATGTTGAGTGATTTATTTGGAAAAATTGTGAAGATGTCAAAGATAGAAGGTTGGAATATTTATTCTTGAAAATGAAAGGATGAATGATCTGGGCATACAGTTACAGAAGACACTGAAAACATTGTTGGTCTTTATAGTGTGCAGTTTACAACTTTATAGTGTGCAGTTTACAACTTTTGGCTGGTTTTCAGCTTTTTCAGCTAGTTTCTGGCAAAAATATCTGTAGGAATGAATTGACTCATTTTATTTTCACAACATATAGACAGATTTAACCATAGTTTCAATTGGGAAGAGGTGACAATCCTTGTGATGACCCGGGGCATGGCACAAAGGCAACATAGTCAAATAAGCAGTACCTCCAACTTTGCTCCCAATGTCCAGGTTACCTTCGGATGGAGAAAAAAACTCTCCAGTTTTTTCAGTCTGAAAACAAAGTACATACAAACTGTAAATAAAAATCCACACAAACCACGCTGCAATAATTAACTTGACAGGGCAGGAGAAGGAATTGCAGACTTGAAAGCCCAGCAAAACACACACAGTTGGGAAGATGCCGGGAATCCAGATAAGCCTCAATGATACCAGATAATTCACTATTTGTTCCTAGCAACTTTGCTGTGTGCAGCTTCCCTTTTTAAACACTGTGAACCCAGCTGCAGCTAATGAAGGGAATCGGGGCCCTTTCCTCCCTCCAAAGCCATGCAACTCATGTTGCTCCCTTCTCCATTCCTCCCTGTGTGCCCTAGGATGAAGAGGAGGCGGGCCTGAGTCTTCCTCCGATTTCCCTGTCCCCTGCTCTGCTCAGCCAGCCTCTGCCCTTTCCCAGTTTCTTCCACAGCCAATGGAGCCACACTCCCACTCCCTGTCAGCTGCTCAGCCTCCCCCTCCCCCTCCAAATCAGATTCCGACAAGGGCATGACAATCCTAGACCAGGCCATGTCCAAAAATGCCAGGGGATTTCTAGAAGCCTGGGTCTCTGACAAATCATCCATCAACAGACATACAGACATTAACAACATCTATAGACTATGCAAAAGTGACAATCAACCAGCACAAAAGAGAAAAAGACTCCAGCACCTCTCCACCAGATCAGCATAGATTAATTCCAAGGTTAACTTCAGGCCAACAATCAAGTAAGCAATATCCCAACCGAGAAACTGCCAAAAAGCCATCAGTAAACAGCCCAACCAAAGAATCTCCAAGACCACTCTCACCCACCAGACAGGCAACACACCAGAGTATAAACTGAGAGCAAACAGCACTCCTTACTAGCACTGATGATGTTACCTAGTTAAGTTAATGAAAAGTCTGCATGAAAACAAGCAAGCTCAGAGAGCACCAAGGAGCCTCCAAATGGACTCATTTTATGATTTTTGCAAGAAAGGTTGCAAAATCAGGTTGTACATGTGGGTGTACAACTGTCATGATTTAGAATGGAAATCTCAGGCTCCATTACATTTGTAAATCAAGAACTACTTGTATTCAAAGAAAGAATGGTATGAACATAGCTTTACCAGAGAGAAATTGTGCTTACTCAACATTGTGCAGTAAGCATGGTTCTGTTTCTTTTGTTACAGTCTTTAGGGGCACAGCAATAATCTCATTACTTATTCAGTTCCTTTTATGCTTGTTTAAACATGCCCAATTACTGATAAATGCTTACCTCCCTGTGCAGGGTGGATATAGGTAGTTCTCAGTATATCTCTGGGACACTGTGTGAGAAAATCAGTGTTTATCGAAACATTTTCCCCTTGGCAATCGGTCTCTTGAATTAAGGAGTCATTTAAATTCTACACTGAGATCATTCCTTTAAAGGATGTTTTTTTTTCTTTTTAGAAAAGTTTTTTTTCTTCATTTTTGCAGTTTGCAACATCCTGTCACAAGGGATTGATAAAAATAAAATGCAAATCTGTTCATAACATTTGTATTTAAAACAAGAAGGTATTGTTGCAAGTGTAAAGGAAATAACTTGGTGAACAATGAAAGTTGTCTTACATTAAGACAGAGTAGTTTGGTTTATCTAACCCAGGGATTCCCAACTTTTTCTACACCCCTCACCCCTAGAATGCTTCTGATACATTCTCGCACCCCTTACAAAAGTAAATATTTACATGCATATAATTGTGCATGTATACACTATAATTTTGTAACTTCTAAACCCAAGTTTTCACACCCCCTGGAATATCGTCTTGCATCCCCAGTTGAGAACCCCTGATCTAACCCCAGATTTTGTATTCTCAGCTAAATTAATTCTTGGCT